CCATTTAGAGCCCCAGGAGGAATAACTTAGCCCCTCACCAGGGCCATTCTATTTCGAAACAGCTGAAGTGAAGCGTCTACACATGCCTTATTTTGAAATAGCTATTTCAGAATAGGCATTAGTCTTCATAGAATGAGGTTTACAGAAGTCAAAATAAGCCGTCCATTATTTTGAAATTATTTTGAAATAACGGAATTGCTGTGTGGACACTCGCATAGGTATTTCCGAATAATAGCCATTCCGAAATAACTTTGCTATGTAGACACACCCTTAGGGCGCTCTGTACTATACTGGAGCTGAACTTTCTCCAAAAAAAGTAGCATAAATTGCCTTAAAGAACCCACAATCCTTCCCCAAGTATTTAACTCAGCAGAGCTGAGCTGCACCTTGAATTTGGCCCATAATCTCTGAATATGAGATGCTGTGGGAGCATCAATAACACTAGCATTACAAATGACTTTCCAAATGCTCTCGAATGCCCATGTTTCAGAGCCAAAGCTGATCCTTCGGTGGAGTTAGGTAGGATTTTCCCCTTTGTGGTGCTATATTGCATTAAAGACCCAGGTATATTTGCTATTTACCAAAGAAACAGGGGAAGCCAGACAGAGAACTAGAGCATTTTCTCTTAAAACAAGGAGTTCCAACTACTTATGGGCTGTGTCTACATTGGCACCCCTTTCCGGAAAAGGGATGCTAATGAGACCAGTCGGAATTGCAAATGCTGCGGGGGATTTAAATATCCCCCGCGGCATTTGCATGAACATGGCTGCCGCTTTTTTCCAGCTCGGGGTTTTGCCGGAGAAAAGCGCCAGTCTAGATGGGATCTTGCGGAAAATAAGCCCTTTCAAGTAGGAATAAGGGATCTTCCGGAAAAGGGCTTATTTTCCGCAAGATCCCGTCTAGACTGGCACTTTTCTCCGGCAAAACCCCGAGCCAGAAAAAAGCGGCAGCCATGTTCATGCAAATGCCACGGGGGATATTTAAATCCTCCGCGGCATTTGCAATTCCGACTGGTCTCATTAGCATCTCTTTTACGGAAAAGGGTGCCAATGTAGACACAGCCATGGTGTGCCAGTCAGAATACTTTGTACTCTGGGGAAGATTTCTGGAGTATTGGATTTCTCTTCATATTCAATGCCAAGACCACTGAGTGGCTGCGTCTAGATTGGCATGATTTTCCGGAAATGCTTTTAACGGAAAAGTTTTCCGTTAAAAGCATTTTCAGAACAGAGAGTCTAGATTGGCACGGATGCTTTTCCGCAAAAGCACTTTTTGCGGAAAAGCGTCCGTGCCAATCTAGACACGCTTTTGCGCAAAAAAACCCCGATCGCCATTTTAGCAATTGGGGCTTTTTTGCCCAAAACAGTACTGTGCTGTCTACACTGGCCCTCTTGCGTAAATGATTTGCACAAGAGGGCTTTTGCCCGAATGGGAGCAGCATAGTATTTCTGCAAGAACACTGACAATCTTACATGAGATCGTCAGTGCTCTTGCGGAAATTCAACGCGGCCAGTGTAGACAGCTGGCAAGTTTTTCCGCAAAAGCAGATGATTTTGTGGAAAAACTTGCCAGTCTAGACACAGCCAGTGGGTATGTGTGCACACCCACACCCACATGCTATACATATATATGTATGTGTATGTATATATATTCCACAAAACCCTCTATTGAAAGCCAATGGCATAAGACAACTGTAAAAGGCAGAGACGGCTGGAGTAAGAAACTCTTCCTACATATAAAGAGCATGACACAGCACTGCATAGCTTGCATAAGTCTCAAACTCTGTGATCATTTTAATGAGGAACAATCTTCAAGTTGCCAAAACAAAGCAGTCCATTTACACACTTGCTTTGGCAGCTTACATTGGCTCGAATGAAGGGCCTTGATACTAGTCACATGATTTTAATGATAAGAGCTATTTTTATCCTCCTGCTGCTGCTGCTGAATAAGACAGAAGGAAGCTCGTGCAGGATAACTGAGGCACATAGTTTTCAGTTTCTGTTCTTTCATGTGTGATGAATCTACTGCCCGTTCCGTTAAGACTTCATGGTACCAGAATATGTTTTTTTATCAGCAGGGTGTCTTCACACAAGACTCAGGCTGCACACATGATATCAGTGAAAGCCTGCAAAGTAAGTGTACTGTGGAGTGCATTTCCCAAGCAGTTTCCCACAAGACCAGTTTGATTTTCTGTACTGCTATACGGGGTGGCACCCATACAGTGTGGCAAGAACGGCAGGGCTGTGTCTACACTGGGCCACTTATTCCGGAAAATCAGCCGCTTTTCCGGAATAAGCTGCAAGCTGTCTACACTGGCCCTTGAATTTCTGGAAAAGCAACGATGCTCTACTGTACAAAATCAGCCGCTATTTCGGAAAAACTATTCTGCTCCCACTCAGGCATAAGTCCTTATTCTGGAACACTGTTCTGGAAAAGGGCCAGTGTAGACAGCCCAGTAGTCTTTTCCGGAAAAAAGCCCCGATCGCGAAAATGGCGATCGGGGCTCTTTTCCGGAAAAGCGTGTCTACTTTGGCCACAGACGCTTTTCCGGAAAAAGGGCTTTTCCAGAAAAGCAGCCTTCCAGGCTACGTCTAGACTGGCCACATAAGACGGAATAGGCATGCAAAGCAGGCAAGTCAGAATAGGGAAATCCGCGGGGGATTTAAATATCCCCCCGCGGGATTTAAATAAACATGGCCGCTGCTTTTTTTCCGGCTTGGTTTCCAGTAGCCTCTGCTGCTGCAAAAATTACTATATATGCTTAATTTTAAGTAGCTGAGTAGTACCAACTGGGTTTATTTATCCGCTTAAAGTTAAGCATGTGCATAAGTTTTTGCCGATTTTGGGGCATCACACACACACACACACACACACACACACACACGCACAAAGCACTACGGGCACAAAGGAGTTTATCAGGCAAAATGCAGAGTAGCACAGCACACTTTGCTTCCTTAAAATCTAAATTTAGATACTTCATGAAGCTGATGTTCTGTTTATTCTTTTTATGTGTAGGTGTGGGGGAGGGGATGTCAAATTTCCTTGAAAGAAAGCTTCCATTAAACATGAGAATCTGAGAAACTGCCACAATTATGGCTTTTAACTTGAGGGGAGAGAATCTTGTTTATTTCATTGTTTGCTTTAAGTATTCCTGTCCATGAATACTTTCTCCTACGCCCATCTCATACCACTCAGTACCTGCTGCACCAGCTAACTGTGAGAACAGGCCCATTCAGCACCAATTCAAATTAATGGGAGTTCTGGTGCTGTAAAAAGGTCTTCTATTGCAGTAGCAAAATAATGAAGTCAGTGGCGTAGAGGCAGCAGAAGCCTTGACAGATTTTGGCCTTGCTCCTGCAAACACTTATTCACAGGTTTAATTTTACACGTCAGTTATCTCATCAAACTCAGTAGCAGATTTTGCAGTAGGGAGAAGAAAGTAGTACCTCAGTTTACCACCACCCCCTGCCCAGCCAGCTTGAAACATATTTCACAGTTATGCTGCCATCAGGTAGTGAGGCTGTGGGCAAGTCTAAAACTCTTTTGAGAAGAAAGGAAATGAGCGCCTCTGCTAACGAGCCTGATCTTTCAAATGAGCCCTAGTTCTGCAAAGCTCAAAAAAAGTCTCCAATCCTCTTCAGCAGGCTTTGGATCAAGCCTGAAATATACTCATGTGTAATTCAATAATTTGGTTATATTTTAAGTGCTTTGCCACAGAAATAAAAACACCTGACCAGGGCTTCCAAGAAGTGAGACATTATTAAAACTGAAACATAATCAATATTAATGAGACTATACAAATATAGGATTGACAAAGGGGTTTGTATTTTTCAGTTTTTTGGTTGCTAAGCTAGGTTCGACAGAAATCTTTCTATTCGATAAGGAAGACAACAACACTATTCATCTAAAATCTAATTTAAATAATTCTATTTCATTCTTAATGTTTAAAATGATTTGCCAGAGATGTTAAAGCTCTCTTAGTCAACTTTTTCATTCTAGGTTTAAAAGATTTGGTGCCAAAGTAACCTACGGTCTGTAAATAGAATTTCAGGTATGATTAGAATTGAAATAGGACTGAAAGTGAACAATCCATTACATTTCTATCACTATTCTACATGTCAGGTATGATTAGGGCACTTAAAAAGTGAAGTCCCATTGACTTTCAATAGAAACTGAAGGCTCTCTAGCGTTCTTGGGGCAACTTTTTCAACTTGATCTAGAGCAGTGCAACTTTTCACGGTATTTTGACTCCTTGGTGGCCTCTGCAAATGGGACTGAGGCTGACCAGGTTATCGTCTTCTTATATGAAGAGCATTTAGGGGCAATCCCTATAGTCTTTACACTGGCAAATCTCCCTCTTGGGTAGCATGCTTTGACTGCATAGGGACTGTGGGATCAGGGCCCTGTTACCTACTGACCTTTACCCCCCCACCCCCACCCCCTGTGCGCCTGTAGAGGCTTGGGCTCCAGAACAGCCCCCTGTTCTGCCCCTTTGGGGTGGGGGGGAACCAAAGTTGGGGGCTGTTTGCAAGTGTTTGGAGCGTGGGAGAGGGGCTGTGATCTGCCCCCCTTTGCTCTGCCCTGCCCCACACACCGCTCCAGCACCCTCCCCTTTACTCCCGCACTTCCGCCGTCACAAATCACAGCTCCTTGCGCCAGCGCAGGGGCAGTCGAGCATCACTGGGGAAGCCGCCTGGGTGGGGGGGAACCAAAGTTGGGGGCTGTTTGCAAGTGTTTGGAGCGTGGGAGAGGGGCTGTGATCTGCCCCCCTTTGCTCTGCCCTGCCCCACACACCGCTCCAGCACCCTCCCCTTTACTCCCGCACTTCCGCCGTCACAAATCACAGCTCCTTGCGCCAGCGCAGGGGCAGTCGAGCATCACTGGGGAAGCCGCCTGGCGGTGGCGGGCAGGGAGCGAGAGATCCGCTTCTGGAGCTTGTCCTGCGCCGCAGCACCGAGCCGGTGTACACCGGCCTGTCCCCGGCGGCCCGGCCGGAGGGCGGCCTCCGGCCGCCGCCGTCCCGGTGCGGGGTCCGGCTGGGATGCGGCCAGGCAGCGCCCGGCGCGGGACCTAGCGCGCCCGTCCTGCTCCGGCGTCTGGCAAGTGCCAGCTTCTCTTCTGGGGCCCCGCGCTGCCCCTGCGAGCCCGCCTGCCGCCCCTCCCCGGCACAGAGCCGCCCAGGTGCCCGCGGGCGCCGCTCTCCCGTGCCAATGAAAGGGCCCGCTCCAAAAAAGGGGGCAGTGGGACTCGCAGTCTGCGGGGGCTAGAAAGTGCGGGGAGAGGGTGCGGCGGGGGGGATGTTGTGGTTGCTGTGAATTTGCACATGTATTGAGCGGGGCATGGTATTCATCAGGAACATCAGAGCAAAAAGCAAACAAAAAAGAACTGGAGTTTTGCTTTCCCCTGTCCAACCAGCCTGTCTGCCTCTTTCTTTCTTTCTTTCTTTCTTTCTTTCTTTCTTTCTTTCTTTCTTTCTTTCTTTCTTTCTTTCTTTCTTTCACGCATATTTCCTGCAGAATAAAACACTTGTTTTATTTTTCATTGTTATGATTTGGAAGGAGACAAGACGGCTAAATCCCTCCTTTTAAAGTAACTTGCTCCCTAGCACAACCGGTGGTTAATACTTTCCCAGCGAGGGGATGTAGTAGGTTCCCACACGTCTCTGTTTTAATGTGAAATACATGATGGTTTGGAACTACACTGTGCAAGCCCTTCTTATTCATGTTAGTGAGTAGCATACCAGTTGTCTTATAGGCTCCAGTAGAGCTATTTAGAAAGGCTCAGGCAGCCCTTGTTAAACAAAATTCTGCAAATTGGTAAGCATGCAAGTAAGACTGACTTGCCTGAGTACTCCCATTCCATGGAGTAATCACTTACATGCAGTTGCTTGCATGGTTAAGTATCTCAGTAGGATCTGGAACATTGTTTACTTTCGTCCACAGCTATCAGGCATTTCAATGGCTTTGCTCTCTAGCAATGTCTAAGATAAATCACTTATAATTTGTTTTAGGATTTGGCCCTAACTGCTTTTTAACAATCACAGTCTAAAATGAGCATATAATAGCACTGTAGAATACTATTTCAGTGACATGTAACTCAACAGCTGTTCCCACGGGGGCCATCTACTTTGCATGCCTATCCCTTTATTGTCTGGGAAAAATGGAAAAGAGATGGCAAACAAGATCTTATTTTTCCTTTCCTCAGAATGTAGGACAGACAAGGGACAAAAGGGAGACCAGTGGAAAAGCACCTGTGTCCTGCTAGGTGGACTATGGTGGCAGGAAGATGTTGGCGAGGAAGAGTATTATCCCTGAAGAATATGTGCTGGCACGGATTGCGGCTGAGAACCTTCGCAAGCCACGCATCCGGGACCAGCCCCGCAAAGCTCGTTTCATCGCCAAGAGCGGGGCGTGCAATTTGGCACACAAGAACATCCGGGAGCAGGGGCGCTTCTTGCAAGACATCTTCACCACCTTGGTAGACCTGAAGTGGCGCCACACGCTGGTGATCTTTACCATGTCCTTCCTGTGCAGCTGGTTGCTCTTTGCCATGATATGGTGGCTGGTGGCTTTTGCCCATGGTGACATGAATGGTAGCACAGAAAACTGTATAGGCAGTACTGACTGGACACCATGCGTGACATGTGTCAGGTAAAGTACAATAGGAGGTATACAGAATAGCAATGATGTAAAACTTGGCTTTGGTTTACTTGAATTGTACTGTACTGCATAGAAAACTGAGAAGTTTAATGTTCTCCACTAGGTTCCACCAAATTCTACAGTTCCATCCTCCTTTGCCCCCCACCACCATCCCCCAAAACCCCACCTCAGAATTCTTTGATGCTTTATAGGATCTCCACAATCTGACAGTACAAAGACCCTGCAATTTTTCATATGTCTCTACAGTCTGTTGATAACTTTCCATGCCAGAAAAGATAGAGCCTGCTTCAACAAAGTAGCCCGTAGGTGAGTGTTGTAGATGGTTTAGTTCTGTCTACATCAATTGGCACCATCTTGAACATGAAATTAATTTCACACCATGATACAACAAGAAGGCTGTGTCTAGACTACATGCCTCTGTCGGCAGAGGCATGTAGATTAGACACATAGGCAAAGTCAAATGAAGCCGCGATTTAAATGATCGCGGCTTCATTTAAATTTATATGGCTGCCGCGCTGAGCCAACAAACAGCTGATCAGCTGTTTGTCCGCTCAGCGCGCTAGTCTGGACCCTCCCCTGCCGACATCAAAGGCCTTTGTCGGCAGCCCCGGTAAACCTCATCCCACGAGGAATAACGGGGCTGCCAACAACAGCCGATCAGCTGTTTGTCGGCTCAGCGTGGCAGCCATGTAAATTTAAATGAAGCCGCGATCATTTAAATCATGGCTTCATTTGACTTTACCAAACAAACAAATCTACATGGCTCCATCAACGGTGCCATGTAGTTTAGACGTGCCCGAAATGGCTTAGCTCAAGACCTATGTTTTAGCTTCGGAAAATCAGTCCAAACGTCCAGAGATAACCACTGAGGCTTGTCCAACTTAGGAGGCTTGATTTCCAGAAAATGGAAAGCATCTGGATATTAGGCTCTTTTAGATGTCTTTAGTTGGGAAGCCAAAACATGGAAGTACCCAAAATCATTTATCTGAATCTTTATTAGTGACTATTATTTCAATTATAGGACAAGTCCTGTGACATTCTGCATCAGTGTTTATCTCAGACAACAAGAACTGCTGTGTAAAAAACTAGCTCGGTATTATGATAAGGGCCACAGGTTTGGGTTATTTTCCTTTTACTACCCACACTTTCCAGAACACCAGCCAAATGACTGATCAGGAGGGAATTCCATATATACACAGTATGTTTGCAGACTCCAAAGAGTAAACATTAATAGGAGGGATGGGTAAGCAATGAGACCATTCTGTCATATGTGCAATGAGATCCTTGTTTATAGGACTCACTCTTGGACCAAAAACTGTCTGATTCACCACTGCTCTGTCGTTTGCACCAGTGCAAGGCAGTTGAACTATGCTACTGAATCAGAATGATTGCATTTTGCACACACTTTGCACTGCTGTAGGGACCACAAAAGGGGCAGGTAGTGTAGAATTAAACTCATAATATCTGAACGTCCAGTTTTATCTCCCGCTCTGTCTTGGTGATGCAAATGCCATAGCTGCATGTACAAAATGCCAAGAGGTGGTCTTTCTGGCCTACGAAGGGCCAGGTTCTCCACCCCTTCTCTTGTGTTATGCTGCTTTCCTAAGTGGGAGTGTTCCCCATGCAAGTTGGACTAAATTAATTGATTTTTTATTTATTTTTTAGGAACTGGCTGCAAGCCAGAGTTTCTGAAACAAGCAATTAGGGCTGAGAGTGCCTCTGCATCAGGCTCCTTTTTTATGGCATCTCCATTGTATTCCTCAAGGAATGGCAGGCCACAAACCTGCTCCTCTCAGGAGAGCTGCTCCGTTGGTTACTGAGCTTTCCGTATTTGGTCTGTGAGGCCTCGCCTTGCCTTTCAGCTTCAAAGCAGCAGCACAGCTCTAATGGACGCCTCTCCTATGAGACTTTCTTGCTGGCTGCTACCCCAAGACATCCCCTTCCCAGAGGACATTCCATGGCATGGAATGCACATGCACTAAAGTTCACACTGACTCAGTATTCGGTTTTTGTGAGGACTACGCACGATACTCAGCCTGACGCCAGCTGCGGGGAAGGAGGAGCGGGGGGGGAGGGTTACAGAGCACAACAGCATTAAGCCAGGCCTCATGCTGCCAGACATGTCCCCAGTAGTCCCTTACACTGGGAGAATGATTAACTGTCTGCTTCAAGCAGTTTTATGGCCACTTTCTGCTGCCGACATGGTGCAAAAGGAGTGTGTCCACTCCAAGATTCTGGCCTGCTTTCTATTCCATCCACTGGCATTACCCTGGTAAGCCACCACCTAATCCTGGCAGCTACAAAACCCTATTGAAACAGCTCTGGTAAGGTCACTACATTTTACTGCAAGGGAATTGTGAAGGTTTATTATAACTCCCAGAAGTGAATGAAGGATTAGCATATCTTTTTGCTTCAGCATATGACAAAGAACATATGTCATTTGGTATCAGTAGCTGTGGTGTTTCAGGCCAAAAGGCAGACAACCATCTATCTTCTAGTCATGAAAAGTAATTGATAGTAAATGATTCCGATCTATTAAAACTGGCTACCTGTTCCAAGAAAGGTATGGAACAAAAATACTGTCACTAATTTTTTAAGAATAGAGAAAAGCTGATTACCTGATCTTGAAATAAATGGAGACACCTATCTCCTAGAACTGGAAGGAACCTTGAAAGGTCATTGAGTCCAGACCCCTGCCTTCACAGGAGAACCAAATACCATTCCTAACAGATTTTGTCCTATATTCCTAAATGGCCTGCTCAAGGATTGAATTCACAGTCCTAGGTTTAACAGGCCAATGCTCAAACCACTGAGCTATCCCTCCCCCTGAAAGGAATGTTTGATCTAAAAGGAATATTTGATATTTTCACTTTATATACAGGCAGTCCCCGGGTTATGTACAAGATAGGGACTGTAGGTTTGTTCTTAAGTCTGCTGCTGCTGAAACTGATCAGTTTCAGCAGCAGCCGACTTGGGGACGCCTGGGGTTCTTAAGTTGAATCTGTATGTAAGTCGGAACTGGCGTCCAGATTCAGCCGCTGCGGAAACTGATCAGTTTCAGCAGCAGCCGACTTGGGGACGCCTGGGGTTCTTAAGTTGAATCTGTATGTAAGTCGGAACTGGCGTCCAGATTCAGCCGCTGCGGAAACTGATCAGTTTCAGCAGCAGCCGACTTGGGGACGCCTGGGGTTCTTAAGTTGAATCTGTATGTAAGTCGGAACTGGCGTCCAGATTCAGCCGCTGCGGAAACTGATCAGTTTCAGCAGCAGCCGACTTGGGGACGCCTGGGGTTCTTAAGTTGAATCTGTATGTAAGTCGGAACTGGCGTCCAGATTCAGCCGCTGCGGAAACTGATCAGTTTCAGCAGCAGCCGACTTGGGGACGCCTGGGGTTCTTAAGTTGAATCTGTATGTAAGTCGGAACTGGCGTCCAGATTCAGCCGCTGCGGAAACTGATCAGTTTCAGCAGCAGCCGACTTGGGGACGCCTGGGGTTCTTAAGTTGAATCTGTATGTAAGTCGGAACTGGCGTCCAGATTCAGCCGCTGCGGAAACTGATCAGTTTCAGCAGCAGCCGACTTGGGGACGCCTGGGGTTCTTAAGTTGAATCTGTATGTAAGTCGGAACTGGCGTCCAGATTCAGCCGCTGCGGAAACTGATCAGTTTCAGCAGCAGCCGACTTGGGGACGCCTGGGGTTCTTAAGTTGAATCTGTATGTAAGTCGGAACTGGCGTCCAGATTCAGCCGCTGCGGAAACTGATCAGTTTCAGCAGCAGCAGACTTAAGAACAAACCTACAGTCCCTATCTTGTACATAACCCGGGGACTGCCTGTAGTAATAATAATTAATAGCCAACATTTTCATATTGGTGTGCCTAAAGTGTGGCTCTTAAACCCATATTAGACGTCTAACTAAAAGCTTTCTATGTAACTACAATGTGGTGTTGAGAGACACCTGGATTTGAAAATTGTAATCAACACTTAGGGTGTGTCTACACAGCAAAGTTATTTCAGAATAACAGCAGTTATTCCAAAATAACTATGCAAGCATCTACACAGCAATTCCATTATTTTGAAATAATTTCAAAATAACAGATGGCTTATTCCGACTTCTGTAAACCTCATTCTACGAAGAATAATACCTATTCCGAAATAGCTCTTTTGCTATTTCAAAATAGCCCCTCACCAGGACCATTCTAAGTTATTCCTTCTGGGGCTCTAAATCGAGATAGCATGTCTGCATTAGGGAAACCTGCCTCAGACTAATTTTGAGATTTCCCTGCAGTGTAGATGTTCTATTTTGAATTAAGCTATTTTGGAATAACTATTGTGCAGTGTAGACGTAGACTTAGAGCATATAGGTTTTCAAAGTGCTGCATAACAATTAACCACACCACTCTGTGGTAGATAAATATTGTAATCCTACCCATTTTCCAGACAGGAAAATTGTTGCCAAAACTGAAATGGGATCAGTGACAGACTTGGGATTATTACAATGAGGAGTTCCCTGGCTTTTACTTCTGTGTTCAGATGCTGAGCTTGCTAAACCACAGTTTCTTCAAGGACTGAGTTTACACCATACAAATGTGGATTCTTTTAAAAATGAATAATTTTTAAAGGAAATTGGAATATCAGAAGTTACAGCCATACACTTTACTCTACATGCATCTGAATATTCATCACCATATTAACCCTTTCACTAATTCCATTAAATGCGACATTAACTCCTTCATACCTGAATTCTTTAAAATGAAATGCCCAAAAAACCAAAACAAAACTCACAAAAACACACCACTTTGGTGGTGGCTTCAAAGAATGAAAAGTTTTAAAAAGCCCCTGGTTTTAAAAACACTCTTATCAAATTTTTATTAGCGCCTGTGAGAATTCAGCAGCCTCGTTTCTGGAAGTCACCTTCTTTAAGGTGAGTTTTCTCTTTCCACAGGAAAAATCTCCCTGATTTTGCATGTGCTATAAAACATCTTAGATTCTCTCCATGACTTTTGGTCCTGTAGTATTTCAAAGGACTCGTCTCACTTATCCTGAAGACATAGTCAAAAGTTAGTTAAAAGTTGATCAAGTTTTGTTCTTCCAATCCAAACCTGAAACAAAGGATGGTTCAGCTCTACCTTTGAGGAAAGGCTAGATATATTTCATTAACATAGACCTGTTATGTACGTAGATGTTACATCTGGGTGAACTGTAATATATGAAAGGGGTTGTTGCCATATTAATTCTTATGCATCAATATCACATTCCATGTGTGGCATGTCCAATAAGTCGTTCATATGCTACTTACATAGCATTCACATATAAATTGCAAACCTAGAACCATATTTAAATTGTGCAGCTGGCCTTTATTTTGACAGTGAACTGAGCTGCCCCCAACCTTTGGGACATGAATGGAATGAGCGTAACGGCCCACTGATTTACTCTCACTCGTGAACAGCATCATTGCTGCAGGAGCCATGTTTCTAGGGGTTTCCCCTAGTATGACTGTCCCCAAAGTCCACTTTGGGGGTTAAAGGTCAGAGGGAAAAGTAGTGCAAGTTAACTCAGGCTATACTAACTGCACAGCTTCCCCTCTCTGCTTTGGAGACAGGGAGAATCTAGACAAGTCAATCATTTCCCCCACTCTCCCTTCTCCATCTCACCACCAGCTCTGTGGAGTTAGAAGGTGTGGAGCTCCTGAGACAGAGGTGCCACCGGGTGGGAGGAAGGAAAAGAACACTCCAAGAGCTCTTTGCCTGCTGGCATGGAGAAGAATGGGGACAATTAGGCAGAGAGGTTTGGTGAATTGTCCAAGGCCAGAGAGAGACCCAATGACACTATGCAGAATTTCCAACTCTCAGGTCCGTCCTTCAACCATTAAACAATGGCTCTTGTTCCCACGAACGCTGAGCATGCAAAGTGCCATTGAAGTTCATGGGAGTTTAAAATGTGCAACAACTACAAAAATAAGCCCTTTACTTGCTTTCTATCCAGTGTATGCATTCACTTTTCTATTTTAGGTATTTAATGAATTAACTGTATGTAACTTTCTCTGTAGGTCTTTCACTTCTGCTTTCCTCTTCTCCATTGAAGTTCAAGTGACCATTGGTTTTGGAGGCAGAATGATGACAGAAGAATGTCCCATGGCCATCACCGTCCTGATTCTGCAAAACATTGTGGGTTTGATTATCAATGCTGTCATGCTGGGCTGCATATTTATGAAGACTGCCCAGGCTCACAGAAGAGCAGAGACCTTGATTTTCAGCCGGCATGCGGTGATTGCCGTTCGGAATGGCAGACTTTGCTTCATGTTCAGAGTGGGAGACCTGAGGAAAAGCATGATCATCAGTGCCTCTGTGAGAATACAGGTAGTGAAGAAGACGACTACGCCAGAAGGGGAGATCATCCCTATACATCAGCTAGACATCCCGGTGGATAATCCCATTGAAAGCAACAACATTTTCCTGGTGGCTCCATTGATCATTTGCCATGTCATAGACAAGCGGAGTCCTCTCTATGACATCTCTGCTAGTGACCTTGCCAGCCAAGATTTAGAACTTATAGTGGTACTTGAAGGAGTAGTAGAAACCACTGGCATCACCACGCAAGCAAGAACGTCTTACATAGCAGAGGAGATCCTGTGGGGCCACCGCTTTGTGCCCATTGTGACTGAAGAGGAAGGTGTGTACGCGGTTGATTACTCCAAGTTTGGCAACACGATCAAGGTAGCCGCTCCGCGGTGCAGTGCTAGAGAGCTGGATGAAAAGCCTTCCATTCTCATCCAGACTCTTCAGAAAAGTGAACTGTCCCATCAAAACTCCCTGCGGAAACGCAACTCCATGCGGAGGAACAATTCCATGAGGAGGAACAACTCCATGAGGAGGAACAACTCTTCCCTCCTTGTGCCCAAAGTACAGTTTCTCACGCCTGAGGGGAACCAGAGTGTGTCCGAAACATGATATATAGCCTCCCATGAGGATGAGCCTCTAATAAAGGATGAGGCACCACAAACTTTTCTAAAGAAACAGATGCAAAATAGAACAGTACTGGAGCTATTTATTCTGTTACTTAATGAAAGCATCACCTAACAGCAATAGGAAACACCATAGCACTAGGCATATTCGTTAATGAATATTGGCACAGGAAGCATGCTTCACTCATGTAATGTATTTTATATTCATATGTGTTTTAGTGGTATGTTAGATTTTTTTTCCTCTAAAGGAAATCCATCTGGTGCCTTTCTACAGATTGTCATAAAATGCATTTTATTTTTTATTTTTGGATTACATGCTGTCAGTGGGCTGATGTTCAATAGCTCTGTGCACCCCGATTCCAGTTATTTATGTGGGATGTATTGCCACTCATAGAGGATCTGTCATGACCTTTGGTAAACTGTTCCAATGGTTAATTGCCCCGACTGTTAAAAATTATGCCTTATTTCCATTTTGAATTTGTCTAGCTTCAACCTCCAGCCACTGGATCTTATTATATCTTTGTCTGCTAGGCTGAAGAGCCCACTAGCATATATTTATTCCTCTTCTAGATTAATATAAACTTTAATCAAGTTACTCTTTAATCTTCTCCTTGATAAGCTAAATAGACTGAGTTGCTTGAGTCTATCACTGAGAGACATGTTTTCTAGTCTTTTAATCATTCTTGTGGCTTCTCTCTGAACCAATTTATCAACCTCTTTCTTAAATTGTGGGCACCAGAACTGGGAACAGCATTCCAGCAGTAGTCACAGCAGTGCCAAATACAGAGATAAAATAAGCTCTTTACTCCTACTCAAGATTCCCTTTTTATACATTCAAGGATCATATTTACTGTACTCTGTTAGCCACATTTTTTGTTTTGCTTTTTTTGGGGAGGAGGGGGAAATTAAGTAAAAAATTCATAAACAGTTTCCCATTATCTTTCAATTTATTCTGATTAAATTTTTCCTCCCAGCTAATTTGCCTCAGAATTGTTTTCAGCTTTGTGAAATTGGTACTTTTAAAGTACCAAGTTTGTGTTTCACAAGTGTGTGTGTGTGTGTGTGAGAGAGAGAGAGAGAGATTCACAAATGCGTGTGTGTGTGTGTGAGAGAGAGAAAGGGAGAGTGTGTGAGAGAGAGAAATAAGTATAACTGGTTTGGACTTTATATATCCTGGCTCCACAGAAGTTATTGACAAAACATCCAGGCTACGTCTACACTGCAGGTTTCTTGCGCAAGAACTGTTTTGCACAAGAGTTCTTGCGCAAAAGGTCTTGCTTTTGCACAAGAGCGTCCATGGCAGTGTGGACGCTCTCTTGTGCAAGAAAGCTCTGATAGCCATTTTAGCCATAGGGCTTTCTGGCGCAAGAAACCCCTATTGCCTGTCCACGCTGCCTTCTTGTGGAAGAGCTCTTGTGCAAGAGGGCTTATTCCTTGTGGGGAGAGGAATAACTCTTGAGCAAGAAGCACTTCCGACGCTTTACTGTAAATTTACTTGCACAAGAACATGTGTGCAGTGTAGATGCTCTGCAAGTTTTTGCACAAGAACAGCTGTTCTTGCTCAAAAAGCCTGCAGTGTAGACATAGCCCCAGTGTACAGCCACACTACAGAGGAAGAGCGAAGCTGCTGGTGTCGATCTTCCAGGGTTCAAATTAGCAGGTCTAGTTAAGATAGTTAAGACAGCTAATTCGAACTGAGAGTGGTACTCTGGTCAATGCCGGTAATCCTGCTTTCACGAGGAGTAAGGGAAATCGAGGGGAAAGTGTTCTTCCTTCGACTTCCTGCTGTGTAGACAGTGCCAAAAGCCGAGTTAAGCTACTTTGACTTCAGCTACATAATTAATGTAGCTGAAGTTGCGTATCTTAATTCAACTTTGTCCCATAGTGTGGACATACCCTCCCCTCTCCCGATTTCAATGAAGACAGGATTTCATGCCCAATTTTAAAAATCTTGGTCCCAGTGGCTTATGAAAAAGTCACTAGTGACAGAAGGCCAAACAAACTAAATTAAAGTGATGAAACTCCACTATTTAGCATCATCGTTGGCAGTATCAATACTGACTGACCGCGGGACCACAGCTTAATTGTGGTTGTGCCATGACCCCAACCCACCTGCTCTGTGGCTCAGGGAACTTTGAGCAAGTCTCAAAAACTCAGGGTGATGTCTCCCCCCTCCCGATCCCCATAACTGGTACCAATCTGGGGACCGGTGTCTCACCACCTTATATCCACGTCCACAGGTGGCACATTGTTCACGGATGTTTGCCCATTTGTTTGCTGCTGTTTTAACCCAAAAAGTAATGACTTACTCTGCTTCTCAGAGTTTTTTCACCCTTCTTTCCCTTTTCTCGATCTATTCACTATTATCCATTCTCTTTGATTCGTCCTTTCTTGAGCCTTTTTCATGGTCCCTTAGTTTAATATTCCTGTTTTATTTCACTCTCTAAATATTTCTGCTGAGTTTTTTTTTTCTTTCACGACCCTCCATCTCATCTTGTCCCCCAATTTGGTCTCTCTCACTGTCACCTCTAGTATATTCTCTCTCCTCTTTTCCCATCAGTCCCAACCATTCTACCACTATCGTTTTTATTGTTATTTATTATCTGTATTGTGGTAACACCAAAGAGCCCCAGCCATGGATCAGGACTCCATTGTACTAGGCATTGTACAAACACCGAACAAAAAGACTGTCCCATTTCAATCCCACCCTGATCATCTTCCCATTCCACTCTTGGCACCCTGTCCCCTTGGGTGCTCTGTCTTGGAATGTGAGCCACAGCCCAGTCCAGCTCACCCTCCACATGAAGATGGAGAGTATATTTTGGAGGCTGAGTTTGTGACAGCTGGTGACGTTGCAGGTGTCCAGGTGAACTCAGCCATCAGCACAGCAGGGTGACTGCACTATCCCCCAGTAAGCAAGGCAGTCTTGTGTGAGAAGGCATTAGGGAGCAATTCAGAGTTGCTTGCACATCACACACAGTGTTCATGACATCACCAGAGATCCATGAGGTTGGGAGCAGCATTCCTAGCAGACAATGGGGCAGTTAGACAATAACATGGCAGCGGTTCACCAGGGTTAGTCCCTGCTGGGCCGTCACCACTATATTTACCTGTACGACTGCAGGTACTGGCCATGGCAGGTCCCATTGGCCACGGATCACAGCCAATAGGAGTGGTGGGAAGTGTCGCGACCTGGGACACTGCTTCCCACAGATCCCATTCATTGGGAATGACAATCCACAGCCCATGGGAGCTGTGATTGCCACCACCTACAGTCATACAGGTAAATACAGTGGTGGGGGCCCACCAGGAGCTAACCCTGGCCAACCAGAGCCAGCACCCAGGTTACTATTTCCACACCCCTGCCAGAGAGGCTCCACATAGATTCAAGCATTGCCTTAAAACCCACAACCTGCCGAGGGAAATTGAGTTGCCACTCGTAAACACCAGAGTTTCCGAAGCATTTTTTCCTCCTGTCAGGTTTTGCCACTGAGAAGGGATTGTTTGGCCCAATATCAAGTTTGATGTCATATACAGTCAAAGGACACCATCAGCTTCAAAATCATAGTCAAGATTTCCAAAAATAGGTTCTTATAATTAGCTTCTGATGTCCCGGTGAGCACCCTGACTCTCAGAAGTGTGGGGCATCCATCAGTTCCCACTGAAGCCACTGCTTTTGAAAATGTGGCCATTTATTGAGTTGCCTATATATACACAAGCATCCCATTGATTTCCCTGTGCCTAGTATTATTACATAACACGTTGGGTTACTATAAGTGAAAGAAATTCCCCTTTTCCAGCTCATTTAGTTTATGTATTTGATAGTATTTTGTGTATAATAAAATCTAGAATACTTTGAATAGTTAATCAAATTTCCCTGCCTTTTTTAGTCTTTCGGGGGGGGGGAGAGGAAAACATTTTAGAAGAGAGGGAAATGTGATTCCAAGCATCTTTATACTTTTTCTCTTGAATTAAATAGACTAGCTAGAAGTTGACTCTGCCCCTTTTAACAGAAATGTAAAGGGAAAATGTCTGTCATCTGGAAGAAAAACAAAAATGTTCAAGGTGGCAAAAGTAAGATTTTTTTTCAAAACCACCCAAGAGTCTGGAAGAGCTACAAAGCCAAGTGCTTCAGGGCATAAGCCAATCTCTGAGTAATAAAGGCAGGAGGAATTTTCTCTTGAGGACTGGTTATTCCATAACTGCCTGCTGCAGGGTTTATTGCACTTTCCTCTCAACGTTTTGGTGCTTGCCACTGTTGGAGACAAGATCCGACATTAAATGGACTTTAGGTTTCAGCCAGTCTGGCAAATTCTATGAGCCTACTGTGGCAAAAGGATATGGTAAAATGAAAAAGTATTGAAAATGTGTCTGTGCTACTGTTGTCTTCAGATCTTCTGGCCTTAAATGTTTTCTTCAAACTTCAATAACAGTAGCTGCCTGGCCTGCTAAAAATGCCAGAATAGTGGAATGGTTAACACGGATTCAACAAAGCCTTTAAAGAACACTTGGAGCACTTCATGGTTTTTGAGAGGAAGGCATTATCATTTAGGGTGGCATATCTTTAAAAATAAAATTCTAAGAACTGAGCAGAGGCTGGTGAGGAAGCTGAACCTCTTCAGCAAAAAGCAACATGGAGTTTGTGCATTGGGCTGGCAGAATGGGCCAGCGTTACAAAGTTATTCAGATGCAGACAGGCACTTAGTGGGATTTTCAAAAGCACCTAAGCAGAGTGTATGTGGTGAGGAGAAGTGGGATGAACACTGATTGCACCAGTCCCTTGGGCTATGTCTAGACTGGCATGATTTTCCGCAAATGCTTTTAATGGAAAAGTTTTTCCGCTAAAAGCATTTGTGGAAAAGAGCGCCTAGATTGGCACGGACGCTTTTCTGCAAAAGCACTTTTTGCAGAAAAGCGTCCATGCCAATCTAGATGCAGTTTTGTGCAAGAAAGCCCCGATCGCCATTTTTGCCATAGGGGCTTTTTTGCGCAAAACAGTTTTTATCTGTCTACACTGGCCCTCTTGCGCAAAAACATTTCCGGAAAAGGGCTTTTGCCCGAATGGGAACGTCAAAGCATTTGCGCAAGAAGCACTGATTTCAGACAGTAGAACGTAAGTGCTTTTGTGCAAAATCAAACGGCCAGTGTAGACAGCTGGCAAGTTTTTGCGCAAAAGCAGTTGCTTTTGCGGAAAAACTTGCCAGTCTAGACGCAGCCATTGTGTAGAGCGGATCATTCACTCTGGTGGAGTGGTTCCACTCCATCCCTGAATAATCCATTCTGGGTTTTTATGACACCTAATGCATCCTTGGACCAGAATTACATTTAGTTCCAGGTAAAGTCTGACTTGTTCACTAAGCCTTTACTTTAATACAAAATCTGAACTAACAGTTAAATCCTTCTCAAAGCAGGTGACAGCATGCACCTCACACCTGTCTCAACTTATTTTAGTGGAACACATCGCTTCACGTTACTGCTGTAACTGATTCATGCAGAACATTATGTGTTTCTTTATGTTTGTAATCAGGACAGTGGCAGTCACATTGATGACTGAAGCATCAATTTTGGATATCTTTTCTTCCTCAAAAAAATAAGCGTGAGGACATTTTGTGAAACCAACTTCCAAATTCTTAAGGGATTATTATTAGCAAATGATTACTGAACAAGCTGTTGGTATGAGACAAGAGAGGAGCTTTGGCTGGACCAAAACTTTTAAATAAATGACAAAAGGAAGAAAACTTTCATTAGTTCTGACAAATTATGTTCTCTGCTATTCTCTGAGGAGTGTCTGGTATTTCTAAAGAGTTGAAACAGCTTTAGAAGGAAACTTCAAGCAATAAACCCTTAGCCAATTAAGCTTTGGTTTTGTTCTGGACTATCATTATGTGCTGGTTTCATAACAATGACATGGCCAGTTCCAGCATTTTGAGGAACAACACTAGGGTACAGGTGGATTAGCTCCAAAAGGACTCAAATGAGTTATCAGAATTTTTTCAAACTCTTTCGTGATGACAGGATGGATAGCTCTGTGATTCATAATGAGCGAGAAAGCTAGTCACTTCCAGAGTTCTGACTTATCTCCAGTCCAGGTCAGGATGAATGGAGACTACATTGTTAATCTCTAATGGAAACAAAGTATAGGGCTATGACAATGAAACAGAGTAAGGAACATTTAAATTCTAATCCTGACTTGGCTACTGATTTGCTATATATTCTTGACCA